GGGCCCTGCTGGGCCTTCCTTGCGCTTTAACCCTCCCACTGCCAGATGACTCCACTACCCTCAGTGAACTCAGCAGATTGTCAAAACTCCTACCACCTCCCTCGCCCCGTCCCCCCACCCCACCCCAATAACACACTGAATGAGTGAGCACTTACCTAGTGCCCGGGCGCTGGATGAAGCACTGTCTCATTTAAACCCACTGAGTCAGGTACTTCTGTGCTTCCCTACCTTCAGTGTGCACACATACCACCTGGAGATCTTGTTAAAATGCAGATTCGGAGAGTCTGCGTTTAGAACGAGCTCCCAGGTGATGCTGAACCAGGGCCAGAGTTTGTATTTCTCTGGACCGCGGTTTCTTCTCATGAACAGCGGGAAGTTGGGCAAGACACTGTCTCTCACGTCCCCTGGCTCTGACACTGCGAGCCTACATCTACATTGTACTTCAGCCTCACAGAAGACGTCTCATGGCTGTCTTCTCTCCCCCTCCTTGACCCTCCTCAGAGGAGTCATGAGGGCTCCATTGCTGCAGGCAGTGGTGATTATACCCCCCGCCCCCCACATATACTTAATGCTCACCCCTGCTCTAACCCGTGCTGGCTGCTATGGTCTTCCAGGTCTCTGAGCCTTGCTTTCCTCATCTGTAAAGTGGGGATAATACCATATATCTCAACTGGGTGGTTGTGTTGAGGTTAGAAGCCATCATGCCCGTGCACCATCTAGCAAACTGTTTGGTACATAGTAGGTGTCAATTGCTGTTCCAAAATGAATGCCTGGAAGAGCACCCCCTCTTGACTAATAACAGAACTACTAAATACCCTCCTCTGTGCCAGGTACCCATTGGAGAAGGAAAAGAAGATGCACAAACCGTGGTCGCAGGTCCTCAAGAGTCTAGTGTGGAAACCAGAGAGGCTCCCAGGGCAAGGGTTTGCAAGCCAGTGTCTCAACTCTGAGAGAAAAAACAGCGAGCATATTTTAAGCTCTTACTTTAAGTGAACAGATAAAAGAGCTAGAAATCAAACCACGGCTGTCGTTCCAGATCCCCTTACCTCTGCCTCTGTGGATAGAGACAGTCTTCCCTGCACTAGGTGTGGTCAGGGCCAGGTGCTTTGCAGGCACTCATTAGCTGCTTGCGCTATAAGAGTGACTGTCCGGGACCTGAAGTTTAGCCCCTGACCTTTCTCTGTCTCTGCAGAAGCTGCTGATGGGAGCTCCACCCTGGGAGGAGGCGCTGGCACCATGGGCTTGAGTGCCCGCTATGGGCCCCAGTTCACCCTGCAGCACGTGCCCGACTACCGCCAGAATGTCTACATTCCTGGTAGCAATGCCACGCTGACCAACGCAGCAGGCAAGCGGGATGGCAAGGCCCCGGCAGGTGGCAACGGCAACAAGAAGAAGTCGGGCAAGAAAGAGAAGAAGTAATGTGGAGGCCGGGCCCAGAGCCACAGGGCCACTTCCCCCCAACCAGCCCAGCCTCCCCCACCCGGCCTGGGCCTCAGATTTTCAGGGCTCGCCCCCAGGATCCTGGTCAGGGCCCAGGCCATGCTTCCCTTGGGAAACAGAAACAAGTGCCCAGTCAACACCCCCTCTCTGCCCCTGGGATTGAATATGCAAAGGGAGTTCTGCTGAGAACCCCCATCCAATCAATTGCTATGCCCAAGGGGTTGGTGGGGTTAGTGTAGACATCATTTATCACTCCCCCTTTAGTTACTGCCGAACTCCTCCATCATCCAGATTCAATCAGGCCTAACCATCCGCTGCCTCCTCCTGCCCATCCCACCCCACCCTACTCCTTCAACAGCTCCTCTTTCTTGAGTAAGGTGGTTGGGGTGTTGAGGTACCCGGTGACTTAAAAAGGCTCATAGTTCTGAAGAGTTGGAAGGGCATCATGACCTCTTGGAATCTCCTTCAATTCTCAGACTTCCCCCCCAAGCATGGTTTGGTGCCACCCCCCTCACATCCTTCCAGAGCCTGAGACCGAGCTCAAGTTTTGGGAGACCTGGTCACCGTTCCCGCGGTACTGATGCTTGCCAGATTTAGGGAGGGCATTTTGCTACCATGCCTCTTCCCGATGCCCTAGGGACCAGATTTTTTGTTTTATTTTGTTTCTCATTGTTTGATGTTGCCACTGCATGCTGTGACTTCCCCCTCCCCAAATAAGAGACTCCACTGCATGTTCCAAGACAGTATGGGGTAGTATGATAAAGGGAAGGGTGTGTATGTGGATGGGGGATGGACAGAGCTTGACCCCTCAGTTGACAGGGTCTTTCAGGAGGCTCTGTGTGACCCCAGGGTACTGATCAGATCCCCAAATTCCAGCCATAAACCAAGCACCAAGCTGGATCCCCATCCACCACATTCAGGGCTCTGCCCAGGCAGCCAGCTCTGGGCTGAGCTACCAGCACCAAGGGGTTTAAACCGGCAGTACAGTCCAAGGAAGCTCTGAGCAGGTTTGGGACCAGGTCCCCTGGAGAGGTCAGAGAAGACTCTGTGGGTGCTGGGTACTCCAGAGGTACCGCTGGTGAAGGATCAGTGTGGCCCCCTCGCCAGCAGGGAGGGCCAGCTAGGCCATTCTCGGTCCCTGGGTTGGGGAGACAAGGGACTAGAGCAGGGACCAAGTGGACGGAAAGTCTCAGCCCAGGATCAGGCTTCTCCCCGGGGCCCCTGCATTCCCAAGCCTTGGTCCTTCACCTTGCCAGGTGCCATTTCTTCTCTGTGAAGGCCACTGCCCAGGCCCCCCAGTGCGCCCCCTAGTGGCCAGAGGCTGGTTAAAGTCCCCAGTGCCTCCTTGTGTATAAACCTTCCTCTCCCCACCCCCTTTTGCCCCCCGGAGTCCCGTTCATTCTGCGGGGCTGCGCGAGACCCCCACCCCCGTCCTTAAGTAGTGTAGAGCCCCCTCCCTTTTTTCAGCTGGTGTAGAATAGCCAATAGTGTAGTGCGGTGTGCTTTTCCGTGATGGCGAGTTGGCAGCGGGCAGCGGGCTCCGCGTAGCCGTCTGTCCTTGAATCTGCCTGCGGCGGCCCGTGCTGTGTTTTGTGCTGTGTCCACGCGCTGCGGCGACTCCCTCCCCGGTACTGACTCCTATAAGCGCTTCTCTTTGCATAGTCACGTAGCTCCCCACCCCCTTCCTGTGTCTCACGCAAGTTTTATACTCTAATATTTATATGGCTTTTTTTCTTTGAAAAATAAAAATAAAAAAGGTTTCTTCTGAAAGGTTGAACGTTTGTTTCTGTCTAAGAGATGGAGGCCGCTGGCACGTGAGGATGCAGTGACCTGGGAGGTGCATGCTGGAAGAAGAGCGGGATCGGGAGGCGATTATGGTGTTTGCGTCTTGGTTTTGAGTCCTGTGGTGTATGACTGTCAAACGTGTCTGCTTATGCTTGCAACACCGTTGCGCATATGTAATAGTGTGCGGTTGACTGTGCTGGTGGATCTGTATACCGTGTGTGTCATCGGCTTGCGGGTGCCTGCGTGTCAGTGTGCAATTGAGTGTGCAGCTGGATGCTTGCGGCTGTCTCCCTTACGGTGCTAAGCGCCAGTCTCCAGGCAGAAGAGGAGACCAGGACGCGGGGGCGGACGCGGGTTGGCGCCTGGCAAACCGCATGGAGCGGGGGCGGTGACGTCTCCTTTGTGCCCGCCCCTTCCCCGCTGAAATTACCACCCCAGTGCGCCCTTGCGGGCTTCGCGGGAGGAGGGAGCTCTCCTCTGCCCGCGCCCCTCCACCCTCCATGTCTAGGGGTTCGGGAACACGGCGGGAGTGGGAGGGAACGCCCGAGGCGATCCTCCGAAGGCCGGGTTTGTAGCTTGAGACTCAGTTTCCCCATCTGGAATTCGCCTTCCCGCTTGCCTCACCGCAGCAAAGCCAAGGAAATTGGAGAGCTCATCGCTTTCTTGCCCGGGGGTGGGTGAGGGTGGTCAAGGGGACCGAAAGGGCAAGCAGGAAACCAGGTTGCCCACAGACCCAGATCGCCCTCCCTCCTTCCTCGCTCCCTCTCCGTGCTTTTCCATTCACTCATCGGCTTCGCCTATCTCCCCGCCTCCTCCGCCTGCCTCCCCGAAGCACAGTGGGATTTCAAGGCTGCTGCAGCCAGAGAAGCTACAAGAAACACAGAGGGGGAGGGAAGGCTGTGCGGAAGGACAGAAAGGCAGACCCACTGGGGTTATCTGGAGGGTCAGGGAGGATTTGCCCAACCACAGGGCGGGAGGAGAATGTCTCTGGGCTTCCGCTGCTGGAGCCTCTCAGAGACAGGTCGTGCGTTCTGCCTGTTCCTTGTCTGTTGTCATGGAAACCAAGCCTTCCAACCTAGCATCTGGGGGCGACTTTCCTGAGCGGGAGGGAGGTGGTGTGCGCTGTTGCTGAAAGGAAGCGGGGTTTTGTTTCTGAGAGCCAGGTTGCGGAGGGTGGGGAACCGGACGCCTGGGTTCTATTCCAGGCACTGGCAGAGAGTGAGCAGCAGCTGTGGTTGGTCCCCTAATTGGTATGTGTGCCTGTAAAGCTCTGAGCCAGAAGCATGTGGCCTCTGGGGAGAGAGAGGAAGCAGGCAGTCCACCGACATCCCCAGCCGTAGGAGGCAGCTGCCCAGGCTCCAGGGTTACTTAAAAGGCTTTTATTTCCAGTTCCAGGGCCTGCCCAAATGGGTTTGTGGTCCTCTCAAGGCCCCTCCCTGTCTATTCTGGGCCTGCTCATAGCTTGTAAGGTTTCTTTCTGCAGGTCACAACGTGCTCAAACAAATGTGACTCTGAGCAGCAAGTCATCTGGAGCATGACCTCTAGCTTCTGACCTCTGCCGGACAGGCTCTCATTTCCACCCAAGTGTAGGGCTCCCTGGTGTGCAATGTGGTCTGTAGCCACCAAAAGGGGGACGGGGAGATGAATGGGAGATAGTTTCCTCATCAAAAGAGGAACAGGTACTGCCAGGAAACTGTGTGACATCTGGGGGCGTGGGGAGGTAGGGAGCTAGGACTGAGTTTAAGAAGAGGGTTCCGAGCCAAGAGGCAGCAATGAGGAAGGGGAGGGGGCTGGACTGGCGCCCTACCACTTAATGGGAGGGCATATGGGGGGCAGAGGCCACCATGTATTAATCATCTCTAGGCCTGCGTCCAACTATAGTGTCTGGCACATGACAGGCACCTTAAACTTTTGACAGTGGTTTGTCAGGTCAGTCAGGGATGTGAAGCAGGACAGGATGGAGGGGCCTGGATGAGAATGGAAAGAAAACAAAAAACAAGCTCAGAAAGTCACACAGGAGGCTATAAGGCAGTACTATTTCAATGCTTTATTAACAGTTGGAAACAAACCCAACAAACTGGAGGTGATGACATCCCAGAAGCCCAAGAGGCGAGGGAGAGAGATATGCATTTTGTCCCTTTTTTTTTTTATATTAAA